TAACATTTCATTCGTAAGCACTTCATCCGAACATCATTTAGCGTTTTAAGTTAAGGGTTTACTTTAGTTAATACCCACCAAATAGTTGCTAGTGCGTGTTAGATCTATGGGTCATGGTTTCTTTGTACATATCTGTTTTTTCTTCAGAGTCTGTCTATATTTCTGAGATGAGGTATTATGTACATTATTTACATTATTCGGACTATTGTCCTCATCTTTGTCGCCATATTTATTACAACGTTTCGACCGTTGTACGCTCCGGTCTTCTTCAGGTGGTTGGAATGTCGAACTGAACCCTTTATTTCGCTCACTGGGGTAGACTGTTCTAGTTCCACGTGCCATGTTTGATGGATGTCAGTAATCAGTTATATCCATTTAATTTCCCTCTGAAAATTCTCCACTGCCTTAACCGGGTATTGAACTCACACTCTTTGGGTCCTGTCACTGGATCTAAACAACGCCTTTATCCACTGTGCCATGTGTGATATCTCTTTACATTTTACTGTTTATCGATCGTCAATTTTTTCTTAACTCGAATTCTGTCAAAGGTCTAAAATCTAGAATTTATACGATTTTCGCCAGAGAATTAATTAAACCTTGAATATTTCTTGTTGAAAATCCTCACAGTCTTTGGGCCTTTTATACATACACTCGTGTACACATGCCGTCAAAAATGGCGGTGATTGATAGAACGTTTTAATAGTGAGATGCAATAAAATTTGAAATCTTTAAACAATGTAATGAGATTTAGTAAGGCCGAGACAAAGAATTCAAAACTAAAATAGAGACCAATGAACCGTTTAATTAATCTGAACCCTTCATATTTTTAGACGTTCAATGATATCTATGATTTAATGATTACTCCTGGTTACATATCAATCATTTTTTGATCTATATCTATTCATGATTTAAGTGTTCAATGTAACAATGAATTGGAAATATATCTAGGAAGAAAAATATTAGCATTAGAACGAGAAAGTATATTCAGGTTGAAGGTGATGATCGTTGAATAGATAAAGGTATCTGAGTTCCTCACATAAAAGGCTTGAACAAATAAGATTGCTGTCTAAGTAAGATTAACAATAGAACGAAAAAGTCACCGACGCCAAAGACTATTTCAAGACCAAAACGATCGCTGAATACACAAAGGTATATGAGGGCCTCGCAAAATAAAAAGGCTTAAACAAATAAGACTGAAATCTAAGAAATGTAAGATTAAAGGAACTGATTAAATAAAATGTTCATTTTTCTCGGGAACTAATTTTCTAAATCTGGATAAATAAACCTTAAATTATATGATATCGAAGGCAAATAATAAACTACTGAAGAGTACTTATTAAAGGATGCCACTAATTTTTAAAGTTTTCCATTTACGCCATTGCATTTCTTGGTGCTCTTAATATTTTGGCAACCTGCTCTTACTTTTGCAATATGAATTTCTTACAAGACCTGTTCTCTTTTAAGAGCGTCTAAGAATTTCCATATTGTGGGATACTGGGATGACACTTGGTGCAAAAAGATGTATGTCATCCTTTCAGGGCGATGTTAGTTCTACGTAAATCAGCATTGACTCTCTCAAGCAAGACCCTATACGTATTTCAGATATAGGTATCTCCAATAATTGTCATTTAGCATAATTCTAATTTCGATTCCTTTTCATTTAAACAATTTATGATTCGAACAATAGTTTTCGAACAATTTTTTCGATGCACATTTGCGACACGCTAATTAAATCTAAAACTGTTATTAGATAAAATAACGTCTATTTGTCTTGCTATGATCAGATGTTCTGGGAGTAATGTATCAGAACATAAGCCTTGAATCAATTCCAAGCGGGCTAAGTTAAAAACATATATTGAATTCTTTTGAATATTTACTCACGATTAAAATAGTGAAATCATATATGAAAGATGTAATGGCGAACGAAAAATGCTTAGAAAATTTTACAAAAGGTTTCACAAAGAAAATAAAAGGAAGCCCGCGAATGGCCGAAATAGTACTCTTTACTAGACTTGAAGCCGCCCTTAGGGTGGATTTTAGGCTAGCTCCTGCCGATGGCTTTTGTGCCTTCGGCCTTTTGCAATCAGTGCCATACGTACGTAAATGTTATAAGAATTTAGATGTAATAAAATTATTTTATCTTTATATTCGACCTTAATTCGGCATAATCTTTCTTCGTATACGCAACCGATCTACATAGTTTGTTTACGTTTATTTTGCGCGCAATGTTTCTTTTAAAAATAGTATTCTTTATGATATTTTCGCATAAAGTCACCCTTAAAAGACATTAGGGAACTAGAACTATGTATTATTTCGAATACGTCACAGTACCGATGCTTCAAAAACAAAAAGCAAATGAGCAATGTACCATCGCCGCTTAAATTTAATTACAATTTAATTAGATGATATCAATTGCAGTTGCTACGAAAAGCAAAATTAAACTTAAAACTTTAATAAAAAAAATGTTTTTTAAACCTTTCACTTTGCTCGATATTTAAGCTTAACTTTAAATGAATTATTTATTAATTTTTAATCGCGGGTAACTACAGTAGTTACCACCAAATGTGGCGTAATTTAAATGTATTATATTACAAGAGGGGAAAAGAAAAGAAGATGTGGTCTTTAACTGTTTGTTTTGACGTTCAAATTTCATTAACACGTAGAATTTAAAATCTCACCTCCTCATTCATGCTCTGTTTTTATAGAGAAGGCAAATACCAATTCTTGACAATGGAGGTAACAGTGGATTCCTCCACATCGCCTATTTGTTTAAAGACCTTTCAATATGAAAGTCTATTATCAGATAGAAACTTGTGACCATATCTGGTGTAATCTGATTGGCTAGTGCCATTGCCAATCGGTTTTTCAATTTCAGTTATTTGGATTTAGTGTTAATCACCTGATAATTCACCTGGACTGTGTTTCTGACACCCAAAAAAGGTCTTGATTGACGCTGTAGTGAAGGGTTGGGATCTTTTGTTGATGATGGCTGTTCAGTCCTCTCCTTTGTGTGAAAGGAATTTCGTCGTTAAATTTCACTGTCTTTCTTAGAGCAGATCTTGGTAAAGCAGGTGTTACGACTGCTGATGAAAGTTTTGGCGTTTTTTACCTGACGTATATTATGTTCTTTTTTCTAAACGTTGTAACTCTTCTTGAACATTTTTTTTTCTTCAAGGGAAGTTACAAGAATCGAGAAGTTGCTATAGACATTGGTTACGCAGAATCTTTTACACATATTTTAGATATATTCTGGTTTCTACCAATGCCTGTGAAATGTTCTGAAAATTCTTTTCTATAATTTTGGTCTTCACGTTTTATAGAATTCGACATCCTCAGTATTTATTCCTGGTGAACCCAGTAATAGTGACTTTATATTTTAGATAACAAACAAATCATTTTTAGACTTTGCTTTTGGAGATTTTAATAAAATCTCCACACGGCCGATAATCTTTATCTGGTGGTAATCTGGTCCATATAGTTCTGTTACATTGAATAATTGGAGAGTTTATCTAAAATAACTACATGGAACTACCATTAGATCTGTTTCAGTATCCAATATGAAATTAATTATTTTACTACATTGGCTTGTAGTACTTTGAACTTCAGCTTTCTAGGCTTCTTCGTGGCCACTTTAATTCTATTGTTAGTTGTAATAGACTCAAAAGTGTAGTGTGGTACTTCATCCCTTCATTTCGCGAATTTTAGACTTGCCAGTGCTAGATTGTTATTTTTGGATAATGTCCCTTTTCTTGAACACTTTCGGCAAACTACATTTTTAGCTTGACAGTCGTTTTGAGTATGAGATTGAATATTGCCACAGTGTTTACATTTATTTGTACTTTTATGGTGTACTGTATCTTGAGGTTTCTTTTTATATTTCTTTGGTGTTAACCTGCTAACCTTTGCTTCTGTTGCATTCGTGCCTAAAGAAATATATTGATGTTTGTTATTTAGAAGTTTCATAGGCACTGCTGCCTATGTATATAAATTTGTCCTTTAAAAACGTTTCCCTTAACCCCTACAGCTATTTGGTCTCGAATTAGCCTGTCTTGCATTTCCCCAAAACTGCAGCCTTTTGCCAACTGCCGAGGCACAGTGAAATATGCTTCTATACTCTCGGAAGCTTCGTGATTTTGAATATGAAATGTGAAAGCTTCGTACGCTTCAGGGGTTTCTGCAAGAAAATGTCTTCGAATTTCGGTATTACTACTTCCAAATTTTCTTTCTCCTCTTCATCATCGCATTTGAACCCATCGTAAATGTCGTATGTGTCTTCTACTATTGACAAAAAGACAGAGCTTTTGTATGTAATATAATATCATGTATGTAATATCATGTTCTTTTTTGAGTCGACTTGCTTTTGAATAATTTCGAAAATTTCGAATAAGCATTTCCATTGAGTTGACAAATTCCCTGATAAAACAATTTTTGCAAGAGGTAAGATATTTGCCGTAAATTGCCTTTGCTTATCGTGTCCTTGCAATGAACAATCCGTAAATTGGACTAAACATCTTTTTCAATAAACAGAACATGTTTTCGTTTTAATTTATAAACGGTTCGTAATAGAAATGAAAAGAAAATTTTAAAAAAATCAAAATCAAATGACTTTACTTACAATGTCTTGTAATTTTAATTTATTTTCTTACTCCACTTGTATCTTCCGATGTCTTTTTTTAAATGTTAACCTTTTCTTTTTTTTCGGACACTATGTGGCATAATTTAAGTGTATTAAATTACAGGAGGGGGAATATGAAGTCTTTAACTATTTGTTGTTGTCCAAACTCATTAACCCGTACAATTTAAAACCTCCCCTCCTCATTCGTGTTCCGTTTTTACAGCGAAGGTAGATACCATTTTTTGACAAGGGAGGTAACCGTGGATTGTTCCACAACTGTTACTTCAGATTGTTTAAGATTTCTCGAGATCAAAAAACGGACGAGCACACGTACACTGCGCTTTAGTATCACAGAAGTTTTATGCAAACGTGCTTATAGCGATATGACGCTGAAACACCGGTTCTCGTGCGATCACCGAAGTTAAGCAACGTCGAGCCTGATCAATACCTAGATGTGTTACAGGTTATGAATATCAGGTGCTGTAAGCTTGGACGTGAGTGTGGTGTGACGGATAACGGCTCGGAATTGACAATCGTAGAGCCGAGTTTGAACTCCAGTCGGCTTCGTTACGCGAAGATACCCTTTCGAAAGATATGAATCCACCTCCTCTCTCTCTTGCTATAGGTTAAATAGTGATACTTGTATCAGGAAATCACTATTATCTCTAGAAATGTTTAATACAATATTCACTCGCAAAAAGAAAAGAAGAATTATTCTTACAATGCAATAAATATGTTTTGACTTTAAATAACCCACAAATGGTTGATAAACTATAAATGAAAACATTATGCAGGCTTTACGAAGAGTCTCTGTAATTGGGAATTGATGATGAGAGATTGAAATAAATATAAATAAAGCAATATCAATCAAAATTTAATGTAGCTGGACAATGCATCAGAAAATAATAAAATTCATGATACTATTATTTTCTTACGGATGTCACTAAAATATCAATATGTGGCGTGTCTTGAATATTAATAATGTTTGTCAAGGCTTCAGATAATAAATTTCATAAAATATCAATTACATTTCATAATAAATTTGTCTGTAGAATGATTTGCCGAGAAGTTTTGATGAGAAACCAATACAAATTAAAGCAATAATAATTTTTGTTAGAATTGCTTGGATGAGGAATTATCATTATTTATACTATTTATATCTCGACTATTGTCCTCAACTTTGTTTTTGTTATCACAACGTTTCGGCCGTTGAGTCCTCCGGCTTCATCAGGTGTACATCGATCCGAGCAACCGAAATTAAACCCTTTATTTAATCTTCAGATGGAGACTGTTCTCGTTTCTCGGTCTATGTCTAGGGATATCACGTCTAGTCCTTATTCTTACTGCAGTTCAGTTGTTTCTCTCACTTTTTTCAATGAGTCAACGTACACAGTAGCCGGTCCTTGGATTGAACTCGCAATTGCTATCTTCCTAAATTTAGGAAGCAACTCTTTAATCTGCTAGGCTATTTTGAGTTCAGTCCCTGGGCGGAGCAGCGTTTACTTCGACTCAAATGAAACAGACAAGTAATAACTGAGTTGTACTAAAAATAAGAACTAGATAAGTTATCCTTAGACATGAGCAGTGGAACGAGAATCTTATATCACTGTCGATTAAATAAAGTGTTCAGATCATAATTCCCTGTATATTACACAGATCAATATACACCTGAAGACGGTCGGAGGGCACAACGGCCGAAACGTTTGATAGCAACTACAAAGATAAGGACAATAGTAAATATTGTAAATAAGAAGTAATAACAGTTAAAAACTATTAATATTTGCTAAATCTTTATTTAATAAATAACATTTAATAATGGTCTACTAAACAAAACTTAATTGTGTGTAGCAATGCTTCGCCTAATATTAAGATTTCTGATTATATTATTATTATAATGGACGCCATCGATAGCTGTGCTAGCACGAAGTCACAAGTCATCGTGATCGAGGGCTTAAGCCTGTTGGCCTTTTTCAAATTGTTGATCACGCTAGATAACATGCTATCTTCAAGAAACTGTAACTAAGGTCAGCTCAGTCTAGTTTGCAGTATAAAACACAGGTGGGCTTTGTGGGTTTTGAATAAACACAGATGTGCCTGAGCAAACTTATGCAATAGGGACTGGCGAGCAGCTCTAGTAGACGGGTATCCTATAATACGAGGGGCCAGATATAAATATACAAAATGCCTGTAGAATGACGGTTTGTGTTGTTCTGAGAAAAACCAATGATAATTCAGATGAATGAAATTCTAGTAATTGTGCGTGAAAATGTTTCAACTAATAAAATATCCAGATTATATTGATATTTGTTTACTAAGGATTTATAGAATGACGGTACAAGCTGCTGCTATAGAAAACCAGTTATAATTAAGATAAATGGAATATAAGGCTAAAATGAATGATTGCTTACAATGTTTCAACTAATAAGAATATCGTAATAATATTATTTGTTTATTAAAGGTTTGTGGTTTGGTTTGGTTTGGTTTACGGCATATCAAACTCAATGGGTCATTTAATGCCGACAACTTTTTTTTTTCCTGGTAATATATTTGTTTTGTCAAAAATCGATTTCAGGTAATTTTTTTCCTCAAAATTGTATAGCTGGTAATATTATTTTCAAAAATGTATTGCTGGTAATATTTTTTTTCTTCATAAATTTATTTCTCGTAATATTTTTTTACAGAATATTTCTGGTATTAAAACCTATTTTTACACTTTCAAAATGTTTTTCACCTCAGTTTCGGGGTTAACTATTTACCCATAGCCGGAACCCTAACAAGTGCTACCACCCCGAGTCAGTGTGAACCTGGGAACATCCTCAATTAAGAGGTGGTTCCACGCTTTTCAAAGCCTCCAGATCAGAGGTCTTGCTGTTGGACGTAGTTTAACGTCTTACTCTAGTGGCGGATGTAGTTTATCGTCATACCCAGGACAGTAAAGGCTTGTGGAATCACCGTTCGAGTTGCTGTGTTGAAAAATGAGTTATTATAATGAGGAAGTAAATTATTGTCAAATGATGGATGATAATGTTTCATCTAATAAGAACATTCGTTAAAGCAGTATTCAGCTTGTTATAAGACGCATTTTGTCCTATAAATATTTCCCAAAACCACCCTGTGTCCTATAAATCGAACGTCGGGTGATATACGTTTGGTGTCTGAGGTTGGGCATCAGCTTCCGACTTATATCCGATTCTGAACCCTTGAAAGTAAAATAAACTCAGTGTTTCCAAATAAAAATGTGTTTTGAGAAAAGCGATATATGCTGTTAGAACACTGGGGGCATTGACAGGAAACGAAAATCCTGTTACAGTAACATTCGCTTAAGTAACACCTCCCTTCTTTTCTTCCTTATCTCTTAAACCGCTTTCTTAATCTTTTTTTTTCTTTCTTTTTTAATCATTTTACGTCAAGTAAGCTGGGAATGCCAATAATACGCAGGATGTTTCAGGGAGTAAAAATGAAAGAGAAAGCTGAGTATAGGATTGATTGAGACAAGGACAAAAGATGAACGGGTTCAAGAAGACATAAGATGGCGGTTGATGTTGCATTTAAAATTTTGAAAACTATAGTTATCAGAGAAGCAAGTAAACGGAAGGGATTTTCATTGGTAGAAAAGAAACTGTTGGAGTGGAAATGGCGATTGAATTTAACTATTTCAAGAGTAAATGAATGAGATCTCGATGCCAATCTAGTAGCATGCTTAAATTCATACAGTCAGAGCAGCAGGGGAAAAAAGCTCATCAAAGCAGTTCTCATGAAAATATTTTTTCTAAATTACAGAAGTTAGCCACGCCAAGCCGACTGAAGATAGCTGGTCAGGATCGATTACGTTACAGACTCTTATTTGGATTTTGTTAACAATCTCGAGATGTACAGTAGGAAAACCAGACCAGATATGGCGAAAGTATTAAATGCACGGACGAATGGTACATTTGTAAATGTGCAAGATGTTTTCTGACAAGAAAAGGTTTCTGGCACGGCACAGATTTCATTCTCCCTGTTCGGAAGTTTCTGGTTCATCTAGTGACATTGTGTCGCAATAGATGCAGCTATCGATTCTATGAAGTCGCATCACTTCATTCAGTGGAAAACATGAAACCAAGAAGGCGGAGTGTATTGTTCTCCTGAAGTCTAATGTCAGCCATGTTGAAGGTGGTTAAATGAAAACAGTTTTCCTTTAAATTTAAATTTAAGAGCGATTTCTTGCCCCAGTTAAACATTGATTGGAGGTACTTTTCAAGAGAAGGTATCAAGTTTACTTTGTCAGATCTGTCGCATTTTCTACTGAGGTAGGAGTAAATCTACACATAAATAAAACTTAACTTTATACCGTATTCAAAATTACATGTACCTAATTTATAATAAATTCGTCACGGTTAGTGACGATTAACGGCTTCAATTTTGTTAGGTTTCCTTGGAATTATTCACTCAAACTTCTCTTCTAATTATTACATTGTAAATAGTTATAAATTTGGTATTTCTCTGTCTGCGAGTAATTTGTACCAATTATTCCGCCTCTGTCTATATCTCTGAGATGAGGTACTTTCATTATTTACATTATTCGGACTATTATCCTCATCCTAATTGCAATATTCACAACATCTCGGACGTTGTACGCTCGGGCCTTTTTCAGGTGATTGGAATTTCGATTCGAACCCTCTATTTCGTCTTCCGGGGTAGATTGTTCTAGTTCCACGTGCCCCGCCTCTTCCGGATGTCTCAGTTATTTAACTTTAACTCAACTCTCCGGGTTTTGGTTCATTTGGTATTGAACTCACAACACTTTGGGTCCAATCATTGAATCTAAACAACGAAGAAGACCGGAATGTACAACGGCCGAAACGTTGTAAATATAACATTGAATATGAGGATAACAGTCCGCATAATGTAAATAACGTGAACAATTACTCAGGTTTTTATGCTTAGATATGTTATTCAGTGGGTGATGGTTGGTCGCGCTATGAAGAACAAATAATTTTTTCTTTTCGATTTCTTCTTTCAAAATATTGGACGCGTCTCATGTCTCGGATAGTCATATCAGCAAGGAAATACGGTATATCATTATTTGCTTCCTAAGGTTTAGATCTGTGGCAATGGAAAACCAGAAACAATTAAAATAAATGGAAGAATAGTTAAATATTAATTATAGCTGGCAATACTTCATCTAATAATAAAACTTAAATTATTTAGAGTCTGTCTATATTTCTGAGATGAGGTATTATGTACATTTACATTATTCGGACTATTGTCCTCATCTTTGTCGCCATATTTGTCACAACGTTTTGGCCGTTTTACGCTCAGGCCTTCTTCAGGTGGTTGGAATTTCGAACTGAACCCTTTATTTTGCTCACTTAAATTAAATTTCGCTTAAATTATGTAATTTCCGTTTAGTATTTTTTATTTTCTTTCTTTATATTACCTCCCTTTGTTTTCATTGTTTCTTTTACAACTTTCTCTCTACCAGATGAATCGATTAACTTTAATGTT